GTGTTCGCTTTTCAAACTTGAGGCGTATCGCCTCAAGCTATTTTAAGCCACCCTTCTCGTCCAAACTTCTTGACCTTAAACACCTAGCAGGGCACTGTCGACCACTGTCGTCAGTAGAAGTATACTCCGTACTGGTCAACCAGTACGTAGTCAACATTGCCTCGTTACAGCATGAGTGGACATTTGAAATTTCGACGTGCTAGGACATTCGCGACGGCTGTCCAGCTATGCCGCGCAAAGGGGGCTGATATTCTTGTTTTTGCTCGTCCGAATCAGAAAGATGCTACAAAAAGAAAGGAATGCTTTACTTGCAGTTTACAAGGAAGAGAACTCCAATGCGTCAATTTAATCATAATATGTCGGCGGGAGAGGCTGAATACACCTAACATAATGGCTTAAGACACCACGCCCCTATCCATTAGACCTATAGTTTTACGACAACCGTTGTATCACATTCGGGCCATGTCTATTTGAATATTACGGTATAAGTGAAGTAGAAAGGCACCTGTTACATAGCCGCGTCAATTCAAAAAGAAATTTCTCTTTGTCTAGGGCATGATGATGAGCCCTTCATCCACATCCACTGGTGCTGCTGCCACTGCTACGGTCATTCATACTGATACTCATTCTGTCCACATCCACTACTTCTGCTGCCACTGCTACAGTTGTTAATGCTGATACAAATTCTATCGTCGCTGACAATCAGGTTAAGATAAAAATTGATGCTGGCCTTAATCCTGCCGCCGCTGATCTCTCTTGGATCTGTGAAGAATCTCCACCAGTCGGGCCTTTTGACCGTCAAAAAACGGCTGTAAAGGCTTTAAAGCAGGACGCCGTACGCTAAGGCGTTGCTATTAGTGTATCCCGCGGCTGTTCGATTGGTACCAAGCGCAGTTTTCTTACATGTTGGCAGGAAAAGCATCATAGGATATCCCACAGTCGGCACACGTCAATGCGGGATCGCTTAACAAAAAAGGGAGGCTGTTCGTGCGAGCTCCTAACCATGTATGACATGCACGCCCCCGATGAAATTGCCTGGTCAACGATTTTAGTGGATAACTGGCACACCGGCCACTATCGTTGTATCAGCAAGACCATGCTATCAACGCCCCCGGCGGCGCGACGTGCGACGCTATACATTGACGATAGCAATTTTACGGTCGCCCAGATGCATCAGGATGGACCTGCTCCAAGGGTATGTGTGCGTGTCGAAGTCATATACAGCAGGCCATTGTGTAACGGGGCACTGTTGACTACGTACTGGTTGACCAGTACGGAGTATACTTCCACTGACGACAGTGGTCGACAGTGTCCTACTAGGTGTTGAAGGAACACATAGGAAGGAAAGGAGACTAAGTAGTCAGACTAGTCTCTTTGTAAAAGTAAAACTGTATTAATATAACTAAGTCCTATAACACCTTAAATCTTCTGTTATCCTGACTAAATTATACTAATATAACTATATGTATGATATCGTCTACTCACCACCCATTGCGCGCGTCTAGCAGCGATTGGTGGGTTGATATCATCACGATATACACCAATGAGTAGACCCTTCGATCATCCTAACAATATCACAGACATGACTGTGATATTGTTAAAAGAATATTCGACGTAAGATTCTTTATTGTCAGATTGTTTTAATGACAATTTCATGTAATGGGCTACCCCGTTGTACATTATCTGTTTTAGTCTGTATGTGATTAATATAGGTTATTGTAAATCAGTTTAAGGTGGCGTGTGTCCATCTGAATGCCAAGAATGTCCACATTATCGTTCAAAAGGCAAAGAGAAATAAACTTGGTTGAAAATTACACCCGGAAGCTTCGCTGCAGCGAATGAAGGACCAGCATATTAAATATACGGTTGCAGTGCTAAGCGCGGGTGCATTTTGATTACCTACTTCTGTAATTTATTGAACTTAGCGTGGCCTGGCTCCGTTACAGGTGCCGTTCTACTTAGCTTATCCTGTAATTTTCGAAGTGACGTGGCCTAAATGTGATACAACGGTTGCCATATAAACGTTGATTCTAATGGATAGGCGGCGGTGTTTTAGCAATAATGCTAGGTGTATATAGCCTCTACCCTTGTCGACGCTTGCGCCTCGTTTCTTTCGTCCCTCCTTTGTATTTCCACTCCTTCTCACCATCTACCCCATCATCGTTCGTCCCAACTTGAATTGTCGTGGCCTTTATGTCCCAGCTGTCCAGTCTACCCTGTCCGTCGCATTGGTGCTAGACGACAACAATGTCTCCTCGTCTTAGCTCTTTTGTATCTGTGCTTTGTATAATCATAGCTCGTTGCATTTAAACGTTTCTACAAAACGCACAGGCCCTACGATCAAACAGCTACGTTTGTTCATCCGTAGAAGCGACAACTTGTTCGTCGTCGAGATTCGAGCTTTACTGTCTGCTTGCCTTTGCCGCTCGTGTTATGCGAAACATACACGTTTCCACCCAACCGCCTTCTGTTGTGCTCCTGCCACATTTTCATGATTCGAAGTCAGCAGGTTAGAACGTACCGTCCGCTGCTGCTTCGTCGGCGACGAAATCGACCACATCGCACAGTTGATGCTTGTACTCGTCTTAGGCTCCCGCTTGTCATCGCCACGCACGTTGTCACCTCGCCTGTAGTCTGGTCGTCGCGTGCGACTGCACGTCGCGCTTGTATTCGTTCGAGCTTTTGTAGGCCGACCACCTCCTTCCATTCATCGGACGGCGTACCAACATACATAGCCGGCACATGAATTCCATCAACCTTTTATGTGCAAGGCGGCTCCGAGCGCGATACACGCTGAATTTACCCAACACCGGCATTTCAGCCTGCTTCTGACCCACGCCATGCTGATCGGTCCCATCCAAAAAGATCATTGAAGTACAAGTGCTTCTGGTCTAGTTGACGACTGCCACCTTGACGGATATTGTAGTGTGGCCAAGTAAGGCGTTCTGTGTTTAAATTGGTATCGTGCTCTGTACTCTGATGTGGATCGATGCGGTAGGCCACGAGCCTGAACGGCCCGCGATCCCGTGCAGCCATACATCCCGCTGTCACCGCCATACGTTGCCACCTCCTCAGTTGGCTAAATACGTCCCAATTCGGGCACGTGTAGCAACAACGGACAGAGACGAGGCCCTCCTTACAGCCAGCCAGTACTGTAGCCCCATTTTCCTGGACGGGAAGTCCGCCCTCAGCGAGACCAAGGTCAAAAGAGAAGAGGCCTTCTTGCCGCTGTGTTGCTACGGGAGGCAGCGCAGCACGCAAACTAAAAGGGGTTTAACGATCAAGACGCCCAAGGGTGAGCAACACGGCAAAACAGCAGTTGCCACACCCACCCAATTCCTGCTATTCTATGTCTGCCTTCAGGTCGCCGGCCTGGTCACCTATCGTGATTACCGATCGCACGATGGGAACTTGCCTAGAAAGCGACCCGTCCACGTGCGTCCTCGGCCCATCGGGGGTGATCAGGAAAGTTGCCTGCGTATTCCGCGACTTCAGCGCCCTGTCTGCACACTGGACGGGACACTTGATACCACGTGCCCTATGCGGAGTGTACCCCATGACGCCAGCCCTCTCGAGCCAGCATATGGAGTGATCGATGAGGAGAATGAAGTAGTCTAAAGAAAAAGCACACCGATACCGTATCGTTGTGAGCACTTAGTCGACGTCCAGCTTCTCTCTCATGGCCCCGTCGCTGCGTGCGACTGCACATCTTATTTGTTATCGCCCACGATTTTGCAGGTCGACCACCTCCTTCATTCATCCGACGGCGTATCAACATCCATATCCGGCACATGAGACCTATCGGCCTCTTATGTGCAAGGCGATTTGTTAGACGCTGGACGCATCAGCAAGTGCAAATGAATCTGCTATTCGGGAAAAGCTTATCGGCACAGCTGTGCGAAAGAGTAAGGATGAATGGGTGGATGCCACGGGCTAAATGCGCTCTTCGAAGCGTGTCAGGTCAAGGTATCTTGAGCAAAGTTCTGTCTCTTAAGCAGCAAGCAGGACAGACTGATTTTTTATACAGCGTGTCGAACTTGATTTTCCCATGCCACGGCTTTCCTCCGACGAAGGATGCCCCGAACGAACTAGTCGATCTAGTGGCTTCAGTCATCAGTCATTTCGGTTTTGTATCGCTCCAGACCAAGTCCTCTCTTGCAATGCGTGTCTTTTCTTTCGCACTCATGGCTTCATCCGCGCTCCAGATACGTGCCGAAGGCACCGTAAAGACTGCGAGTCATGAGACCAGGGGCCTATATGGCTCTGATGTCGTCCACACAACATTCACTGGCCAAGACAGAATCCCTTCCGACAAGTTGCTTATCATCAACGACACAAGCACCGGAGAGGAGAGAGCGTTCGAATGGCTGGCTAGATTTGTCGCACGTACGTTGGACGTACAGCGCATGAGTTCTCACACGGAAAATCTCGCAAAACCTCTCCTAGCGGATCGAGACAATGACCAATTCGTTGTTCATTTTAAAGAGCTTTGGACGATGATCGATTTGCGGCGTGGATCCTCGATCGCGAAAGAGAGTCCAGAGTATGCGAAAGTGACAACTCTTCTCGCGAAGGGCAACCAGTTACTGCTCGACGACTTGCTTCGTACGCCCCCGGATCAACGTTTGGCTGTATTGATCGCTCTGCTGAGAAGGTCCACCCATGCCGAACTAAGATCTGAGGGGGACACGGCCATGGTCTATTTGAGGAAATGGTGGAGTGGGAATCGAATGACACTCGATAAAATCTTCGAGGTACTCAACGAGCAGCATTTCATCACTGGTTTCACTTACTATGATCGTCTCTGCCACGACGTCGTAAGGTCGTTTTGTCGTTCGAAGTATAGCATAAGGGGTGATGCGGAGTACCTTAGCGGCATGATGGAGCGGTATGGAGGACAAGACGCCTTTCTATCTGAGGTACGCGCTGCATTTGATTCTGAAACCGACCGCGCGCGAGCCGTCGAGCTATTGGACCTAAAGCTGGGAGTATTTGTTGCGATGGGTATGGCTCCCCACTATGCTTTCGAAAGGCTGAAGCTACAACAATATGATGGTGAGTTGTTTGATACGGCGCTCCTACCGCTGTTGAACAAGTACGTCATCCTGCAAAACAAGTTCGACCTCAGAACCACCACGACTCTTGCTGATGAACTGTTCCTCTTACGAGGGGGTAGTGAGTCAAGGGAGACGGTTGGAAATCATGTGTCGGAATGGCTAGGTGCTCAAGGAGTGAAAGCGGAATATGAGTACGTTGAGCAACAAGTCTTCTGGGAATGGAAGCTGCATGGGACGCCTTATGGTGGTGCGCCTGAAACTGGGTGGAATAAGTTTAGCGATGCCTACGATGGTTTTGAGAAGAATTCACGCGGCAAGTTTCAGGAGGAGTACAACCAGTTTTTGACAGCTATACGGTGACTTATATTTTGCCGCTCAGCGCGACCGTAGATAAACTCGCCTGGTAGCTTAGTCAATATCAGCCTACGTAATATATTCGCTTGCCATGGTCGTGTACATGCACAGCACAATATGTACACCTGGCATTGGCCAGCCAAGCGACGTGTCATCTGCTGGACTTGTAGTTGTCGTCGTCTCCTTATCTTTCATTCTAGTTTGCGCTCGTTACATCATTGGCAAGCAGTCGAAAGACGCGACATGCCCTTGATGTTGAAGATCAATAAAACAACATCATGCTTTTGTATTAAGATCATAACGGCAAAGTCATGAAACCGTTCGAGTGTTTGCGTGCTGTGATTGCTATACTTCTCCACATCTCCTTACTGTCCGTGCGTGCATTGACTTGTGTCCACGTCTGTGTGCTCGCGCGCGGATTATACTACACGTCATGCAAGGTTCGATCGAGTAGGTGCTTCTATAATGTGCATCTATATACATGTTCGTGCCACTCATTGGTTAGGCACAAATTTTGATCGACCGCTCAAGAGTCGTGTAGCTCAAGAGCTCACACGATAGCGCAGACGAACAAATTCTCGGCGCTTAAAAATTCTCGGCGCTTGATGTAGCATAGCCTTCCGCACCTTTGGCATTACAGCACATCCTCGCCCAGCGGTAAAGAGAGAAGTAACAAGCTGTTGCCTTCTTCTCAGTTAGCTTCATGCTGAAACGGGGTAGGCGGTTACACGAAATTTCTTCAAAAAGATATGGAAATAAAGAATAACACGCTAAATATTACTATACCAATATCCCTGAGTATAGTGATATTGTTGGGATGACCGAAGAGTCTACTCATTGGTTGATATTGTGATGATATTACTTTTTATTATTAATTTTATAGAAAATACTAATTTATTACTAAGTCTATCGTGTGGTTTTATTAATTATTCTATAAGGATTATATCCTCCTCCAATCGCTGCTAGATTTACGCAATAACGGGTGGTGAGAAGACTTCATCATACCTTTGTTATGTCAATATCATTAATCAATACATACAGAGAATGGGAATTATAGGGCTTAATTGTTGTAAATAACACTTTCACTTTACCACGACTAGTCTTTACCCTAGTCCTTTCCCTTCCTCTGTGTAGTACCGACACCTATCTGGGCATTGACCTTCACTGTTGTCAGTGATAGTTAACTCCCTGCTGATATACTAGTACGTAGTCGTCGGTGCCCCGTTACTCATGCCATCGACCACACTGTGTTATTTTTGTCGCCCAGGCGAAAAAAGCCATCGTCTCTCTTTTTCTTACACGTAGTTTTAGCACGTCAGGTGCAACAGTAACTGGGGTTTCTACCATTGGATTGACCAAAGTAACGCTTTTTACGTTGATGACAAGAAATACATGTTGTGGTTGCACGCTTGGTTAGTAAATTACAGTAACTGGGCTACATAAGAGAGCTTGTACTTTTACCCTGTGGTGGGCCAGGCACATAATCGGTACAGTACGATACTCGCTCAGTTAAAGCTGACACGTGTCAGCCACACAGAGAGATGATCACAAACATGTTCGCTGGTAGAATGTAAAACTTACATTGCAGTACAAGAAAAGTTTATTACTATTTAAATTTAATTTAATCAGTATATGTTTTGAGCAGAAGAAAGCAAAACTGGTTTGAGCGTAACTAGGGATCTTAGGCATCGATGTTATAAAAGTCATCTGCTTTGTGACATAAAAGACTACCTAGCATATATATTCGAAATTTTACCTGAGCTAAAATAAACTTTTTAGTCGTTCATCTTGTTCGCTTTAATCGCTTCAAACTAAAGTCCGTAGTCTAGATCAGCAAACTAATAGGTTCGTTGAGCCGCAAGTACACCTCTGATTATAATCTGTGTACCATCGCTCCAACAGAGGCGAGCTTACATATGAAGAGATTTGTGTGTTGTGTACAACGAGATGTCAACGTAAAAAAATGCCTGTTTATTTAAATGTTGAGGTGTCTAAGTTGATCGTAGAAATTCTACGGGAAGTTATAGTTTCAAGGTCGGTTGGGTGCGACTTAGCAGATAGTATAATCAAGTAGCCCTAGGTGATAATACAAGCATGCGTAGGAAGACGCTGCACCTGCTATAGCGGGAGCAGTACGTCTTTACCGATCTCGAAACGTAACGGCTAGTAATCGCGACCCTGACCCCTCACCGATGGTTGCAATAATAAAATACAGTCTGGTATAGCAGTGCCGTGTATGTATATTGAACTGATGGCTATGTCGGCGACAGCAGTGGCAATAGGTAGATCTGTATCTTTGCAAGATTTTTACATAAGTGACATCGTATTGAGGTCTCACGAGTCGGGTCCGGCTTACATCACGCCTTGTCAAACGTAAGACAAGCACCCTCGATATCCCGTGGCTATACGCTTTTTATTTTTTAATATAGAGATTCAGCGGTTGGACAAGTCCGCCAATGCAAAGTCAAGGAGGTCTGATGACAAACATCTCCTGTACATCAGGGGCCAAGGTCGACCATAATGACGACGGAAGTAAAACAACTGATGCACACCGTGTGATAATTGACATACTACGTGTCGAGATGAGGCCTAAAGTAGCATAGAACTTAGTTAAAGGAATTCATACGGCCCTCGCCAAGCGTCCGAATATTTCATGTCTTAAAAATCGACAAAGTCTGGCATTTACGTTGAACGGAGATTAACTTGAAAGGGGACAAATTGCTTGGTGATATTATGGATTCGGTGGATATTAGCGTAACATTGTGTAGTTCTCGCCCATGCTTGACACGGTAGTATGGCGAAGCGGCGGAATTTGAGTTCCTTTAAACCGTCTATTTGCAATTTTCTTGTTCATACATGACGGACGTGAGCCGGTTCAATGATTGCGTAGACGACGAAGGTGCAACAGTTTCATGACTGGCTCCTCCTTTGTGAGAGTGCATTGCTGACTCATTTTGATAATGAAAAAGAGTGCGGGGTGACACAAGTCATTTCAAACGGCATGCGATATAGCCGCGGCTATGGCTATTGGGACACGTGTCCACTTAAGCGCGCATTAGGCGCCCACGCGCGTTGTAACATATTGGCTGGACTTCAACGATGGCATTCCACCCGTAAACTGCTCAAACTGTTATTACCCTGGCGGTGCCGTGCTAAAGGAACTAGACTTTGGGAAACGTAGAGGTAAGTGCTCGATCAATATAGGACAGTAGGACCGATCGTGTTTAGGCTAAGTGCGGGTCTGAAAACAATTAGTAAAAACGTCTGCAATTTTCTCTTTGAGGTGTTGCAACGCGCGAAAATAGCCGACGGAAATAGACTTTCTTTCCCCAGTCAACGAACGATGAAAATGAGGACAATCAGCATTCTATGCCATACGCAATCACGGAGACTATTACGATCAGGTACGCGATCATGAGCACGGAAGCGTCCGCAAGAAGGTACACAATCATTATAACGAGGGCAATAACTTTCTATGATGCGATCGCAATCTGGTACGGGTTTACCGCACGACGCGATTGCAATTGAGTAGTTGTGTACCTCCCAATCACGATCTTAATATATATCGCGATCTGGCGCAAAATTAAAATGAGAAACTCGATCGGGATCAGGTGGGGTTGTGCCACACCTCGCGACGCAACTGCTAGTATAGGAGTACATGAAGTGGGCCAAGTCTTGCGAGTGGGTAACTGTATGAATGAAGCCCTTGGTATCTATTGTGGTAGATTTCGTTTGACTAGTCAAACATCACACAAATTTTAATTTGCTTTTAGGTACATGTACCGACCTATCTTTTGGCTTATATTACTGGCCACCCGACGTCAGGTTGACTCGCATACTTTAATCAACTGATATACCTATAGTATTAATCCAGGATCAAGTACTATACAGAAAACGTTTAACTGCGATCGGAAGCAGCAACACGTAGTGGAAAAGATACAAGATCGCGGGACGGCTATAGTGAGTAGAAGGTCAGGTGGATTAAGTTTCTTCTTCTCGAAAAAGACGATCTTGCCGAGGTCAGGGCGAGTCATATCGATCACCTAACAAGAACACCCGTGGTCGTGTAAAAATTCTTACACTATCCCATCCTCCTATCACAAACACGGTTAAGTGTCCCTCGACACAATTCCACCTAAAAGAGTGCATCTCGCCCTGCCAACGGGTGCACAAGGTGAATAAATAAGCGTTCTACACGGAAAAAGGGTCTTTACCGATAGTCGGTCGTCTGGACATCGTGAACAGTCAAGGTGAATAAACGCTTGTGATCGCCACTTCGTCCCACACGTGTAGCAATGATGGGATTTCACATGATTTTTAAAATTAGATCGTTGATCACTTGAAGAAATATGCGGCAAATAGGAGTCTCTACTTCGATCAATTTCGAAAGCTAAGCCGTCGCAAATTAACATCTTTCTGATTTGGTCTACCCTAGAAATTCCACGTCCCGTACTTAATTGTGAGGCTGCTTATCCAGGAATACAAAGCCAAATATTGTAGATGTTCTCTTCTAAGCGTCAGTACTATGAGTGTTTGTGGACCGGCGTCGACGGCCCAGCCCTTTAAGGAGGCTGGCTTAAAAGTCGTAGAACTTGACATGGTCCTTTCCGGATCTCGCTACATGCTTGGGATGTGATAAATTGATGTTATAAAAAGGAGTAAAATTGTCGAAATATCAAATTCGGTTTTCCGAGCAGATTGATGGCTATGGCATTATTCGTGCCCAAGAAATTGCAAGACACTGGGTCGAGAGCATTTTCTTAATGGAATTCATGTCTATGTTACAGGAGGTTTGCATAGCTTGAGCCACAGCCCGCTTTTAATGGTCAATTTGACGATTTGTAGATCGACATAACGTCCTGACAGGGAAGGATGGACAACCTTTTGCGTATGTGAGGCCTGCTTTGGTTGATTCTTTTTGCTGCTATGATGAAACACTTTACATGCAACTGCGACCAATCAAACGACCCATGCATGTTCTGTGACCCCTTCTTTCGACGTAAGTC